TATAATATATATATTATATATATATATATATATATATATATATATAGAACATCCGTGTACGGAACGAAATATTTATGTAATTTTACAATTCTATGAAAATATAATTAAATAAAAATTATTTGACAAAAAATATATACTTGAAAAATTTGTACAAGCAACTTTTAAATATACACGTACGATATACAAGAAACATTTATATGCTAGAATCGTTTTTCGTTAGATCCGTTTTTGGATACTTGTCATATAAATCAAATGCTAAAATTGCACGTTATAGTATACGAAGTTCCTTTAGTAAACCTGTGCCCTATGAATCATAAACGCAAAAATATTTCGGTGATATCATAAATATCTTTATACGTGCAATAAATGCGAAGGCGAAAAATGAAAATTTATGATGATATAATAATTCGATGAAATATATCAAAAAATTTCTATCTCGAAGATTTCAACGATTCGCGTGCTTCCTCGATCCTTTGCCGAGTACTGAGTGGCCGTTGAATAAAACATGTGCCGAACGTTCTGCTGGTACGAGCAATAACATTATTTATCGCACGCGATAAATCGTCCTGAGAGAATTTTTATCACGATAATTGAGACACTTCCGGTGCTTTCACAAATAGAACGTTCGGCACGCTGGATTGGGCCTGTAACTACGAAGAGTTAAAGCCGCGAAATTGCGCATCCTCGCTTGTAATTACATACTCGGCCCTCAACATTCTCCACCGACATTGTCGCACATATTTGCGTAACTTTTGCCGCCGCTCTTGTCGCCTAACGAACGAGAGCTAACTTCACGCGAGCTTTTTCGCCAAATTGCCACGGAATTTGTAATTGGACGTACATTATTTCGCAATTAACACTTTGAATCGTTTTCCGCCACGCGGTAAAGAACTTAGAGGAAACGACTTGATTGTGAATGTTGACGTTTGAACGTTCCGTACGTTAGAAGTTTACGTGATATTGATATTACAAATGAATCAAGATATATTTATTTGCAATTGTGTGTTATAATTTTAGTACTAATTTATATTATTACACAATGCTCCCGCGATTACACGTCATCAATTAAGATGTCGCAAAATTACGTTGTTTGATTACAAATTCCGTGTTGGCTCACGCTCGTGTCAGGCATGCGAGCGATGCCTGTAGTCATCCTATAGATTATTATTCATATCGCATGAAACATGGGCGCTGCGACGAAACGTTTGCGCGACCGGGCCCCGAGATACAAACGGGGCATTATGATCGCAGAAAATCAGAAGAGGAATGGCTATGGGTTGAATTGCCTCGATTCTTTCGTCAATGACGATTTACAATCTTACACATGTATCTATTTGAAAAACGATCAAGAAAGTGCAATCCTTTTGAGAAGAAATTTTTTCATTATTTTCTCGATTTGAAACGAAATTATTGAAGAAAAATTTTCACTTGCTTATCGAAGCAAAAATAACACTCGGATGATAATTCGAATTTTACGAACATTATGTTAATTTATTTAATATATATAAATACATTTGTCATCGTTATTATATTATTATTAACATTGCGGATATGTGTGACATTATTATTTTCAATTACATCTTGTTTGATCGCGTGTATTTAATGTGACAAGTCTTATAAAAGTCTTATAAAATTTAAAAATGAAGGCGAAATTTTCTTATTGCTTTCTACTCTACTTATAATACATATTTTTAATTTTTGCGATACGTTCTATATTTTCTTCTGATTCATCTCTTTCTTTTACACAATCTAGTGAAATATTATGAGAATACCGGCTCGGCAATAATAATCAGTAAACTATAAAGCTGTCGGTATCTATTATAATAAAATTTTATTAGAACTTAAACAATTGTATATATTCTTCTGATTAACTTGGTAGTTCGCATTAAAAAAGATTGAAATCGACAGGCTCTAATTTCGATCAATACGGGACGACAGTGATCACAAATCTTCTCTAACACTAATTGAAAGTTTGATTGCTCCAATGAAATATTCGGAGAGATTTAGCAATAAAAAGCCGCTAGCAATTGATATTAAACTCAATATTCTACGAGTATTTCTATTTTTGAAACAGATAATGGCCTCCACGCTTTTCCATTCTATTATATGGCGAAAAAAGATTGCAAGGGAAGGATTTTACCGATCAAATAATTTACTCGGCATTTCACATCGATTTTAGAACATTAATAATTCGCGTAAAAGCCCGCTCTTTTCTGTATTCGAAGCGAATGCAGCATCGCTGATATCAAATCTACATATCGTATACATATAGACTGTGAATATTAAGCATCATGGATATGAAGCGGAAAGTTGTCCCTACTCGGAATATTCCAAATATCACGACGTTAAAATGCACATCTGTTTCCGATATACAGATATCTTTAAAAGAAACAAATCACTCGTTGCGATATCAAATGAATCGTTAAAGTGGTCTTGTTTCTTTGAAAAATAGCAGTCAAAGTTTAGATAACAATGCATTTTATGGCTTTTAAAGCTATTTGATATACGTACTTTTAAATATTTCTTATGATTGATATTAAAACTAATTAAAATTCTAATAATAATCTAGTAGCAGAAACAATCTTATTGTTCCCCATAAAGACTTCCCGTTTCCTTTTTTATTTGTATAAAAATATTTGTGTCATTAATGAATGGAAAGAAAATATTTAGAAAAATATTTTTTCTTTTCTCAGTAATAACATAGTCGTTCATAGCATAACATTCTTCGATCACTAATAATAATCGAAAGGCATTTCTTCTTGAATATCATTATTTCGCTGATTATTTTCTTTTACTCGCTAAAGTGACGTCTTCGAAATTCTTTATTAAAAATGATAATAAACACTGTTTTATACACTGACAAAAACATGCTATTGAATCAACAGCATAGTTTAATTGGAAATAATTTTGTTAATTCAATGACATTATTAATGAAACAATGTATCATGCTC